AATATCCAGAAAACCCTTCTGATATAAATGAATTGAGTTGTAACCTTATAACAATGTTCCAGTTGAAACTGAATTAGTTCATTGTTAAATGTATCATTTTTAAGCTACATAAATCTTTTTATAAAATATTGAACTCGTAGTACATGAGTTTCATTTATGTATACTGGCAAAACCGATTAGATTTGGTAACCAGTCATATCACATCAATAAAAAGCTTATTCGTTAAGTCACTTGTTGAATATGCATCAATCACTTATTATGTGTACATTTTATTACGTACAAGCATATCCATTACTGTGTTGTCTATCACCTCTTCTTGCTTTTGCTGTTTGTATATATGTTACTTCAAGAATCCTTAACATTTGTAATTAGTCTTTATTACATTATACTTGTGACCCTCCTAATTTCTAGTTGTTATAAAAATTAATGAAGTGGGATCATATGTTTCACTGTAGAGTGAAAGTGGAAAGTTTACACTTTTTCTATTTCTCCGGATATATTATTTACAATGAATCAACTGTTTACTTGATTGTTCATCAGACCTAGTTGGTTCATCTAAACTATTTGTTATGACCTTGAAGTTGAGGGTTCAAAACTTTTCTCCACCCCGTCGCCAATTGTTATGGCTTTGTATGTCTGGTTTTTCTATCGCACGACTTATCTACCAATCCGAATACGACTTATACGAATCTTCACACTAGGCCAACCAATGACGTTCGACCGGTGTGGGCAGTTTAGCGTCCTTATTGGTCCTGTGTCCTACGAGCCCTTACACTTGAGTCCAGAACAAAATACCAGCTTCCGAATCAGAGCAGATCGTTTATTTCAGGCATACTTGGTTTATATATCAATCATACAGACCGCAACGTACCATAAAATAGGAAATAATATTTGTACACAAATAAGCCCAAAAAGTGGCTGTGAATGTGGGAGGCAGTAGTTAATAAACTGAACATAACTTAAGAACCGTAAATCGTACAATAATAAATTATAGGCCAAAATAAAGCTTGTCATAAGAGGGATATAAATATACATAGTGTGATTGTTGAGTAGTTATAAAATAAGAATATTTATAGAATATTAGTCCATGAATAGACCTTGGAATTTACCTGTAATTTAATCTCCACTCGGATATAACACTATTATAAACTCATGTTGAACATTATTTTAATATTCTAACTTCAGATGCATCTGCAGTATCTCGCTTCATGCATCCTCTGAAATACACCAATTTAACCGATGACATTTGAATTCTGGGACTTTTATTTGTTCATCGCTTCCATTTAGATTCAATGGCGTTAAGTGTATTTAGATTCATTATGCAGTTTGTCCTCAGTATAACTATCATGTTAACAGTTGTTATAAACAATGTGGTAAACCAGGAAACAAAATATCCTACTGATAAAACTGTCTCTCTTTTCCTACTTTGTTGTTCACTAAATTCATATCCTCTAATAATTTGCAAATGTTGCCAAATGACAGTATGACAACGAATTTCCCTAAACGTTCAAATGGAATAACTGCTATTTCTATAGCAATATTTTGGTCTGAATTATATTATCTAGCTGGATAATTCGTTTTCTACTAGAATGAGTCACAGCTTCATGAGTGTGTTACTTAGAATGTAAAGTTCAGCTTATCATTCTTTCTTTATAGAACCTGAAGCTAATAAAAAGAAACCATGGAGTTAAGTGTAGTGGTAAATCCTTCAAAAGAAACTTTTCAGTATGCGAAATGATTCTTCTACTGTTAACCTTAAAATCTGTCCAATCTACACTTTATTTGCAATCGTCCTGTGACAAAAATGAAATCGAAAATACCCACCAACTTAGTAGCATGGATGTTGGACATAGATTTAATTGGCCAAGGATGTAACTCTATTTGTTTAAACTGGAGATTATTTAACATGATTGGCTATGACTATTTTTCTAGCCTAATAAAAAGTTTGTTAAGTTATTAGTTTAGGGTTATTGCTTTAAAGGTCTAGATACACCCTGGATTTGTGATGCAATTAGACTAGGTTACAAATACAGATTAGTTGTAGTTACAATAATACGTTCATGTTCATTTTCCCTTGATATTAATTTGGTTAGAAACAAAAGAAAAACACATTTCAACAACATATTCGTATTAAATCTCACCATTTGGATTAAAAATAACAAAAAGGATACAAATCTTTACAAATACGTTATCACAATACACTTGATCAATCGCAATTGTTGTATATACATTCTAAATAGATTGCTTTGATAGTAGCATTAGTTACGAGTCTTAGAGAGTTTGATTGTAACTAGTGGTGGAGTTCACAACACAAGTGTTGTCTTAGTTGATACTCGTCAGTCGCATTCCAATGTTGATATTCATACTGAACTCGAATCCATTATATTTCGTCTCAAACACCGAGTTGTAAACTAAACTATTGGGTCCAAATAGTCAGTACCAACGTGTTCACTTGTAGTCCTTGATACCAAGAAATAAAAAACTCAGTCTCTTACATATGCATAACTTTATACAAATGACCTTCATAGTTGGTCAAATGCATTTCTTCGATCAAATTCCAACGTCTTTTTTTCCAAAAGTTATTGTTTCTAGTCTTCTATGGGGTTTAATACGTAATCAATCTGGCTTGTATTGAGTTTTTGTCGGAGTCGGTCTATCTTCTTTTGTTTTCATATAATTGAAGAATACTTGACATAAAAGATAAATAGATGATCAGATGTTGCTAAAATTTACATACTTATAAGAGACCGCTAAATAAGTTTATAGTCAGTAAATTTGTTCGAATAAACTCAACTTAAACGAAGCAATCATGCATATAAATGAGTTTGACATTCTTAGGCAACATCTGAAAAATAAAAATTTTTTTTGAAAAGGTGTCATCATAATTGGTTAACCACTTATTCTACTTTAACGCATTTATCAAGTACAAATTTGACCTTAAAACCCTTCCTAAGCTTGAAGGACAGTTATGATACCGAACAACCGAATTAAGTGGAGTTAAGTTTAAACTTAAAACCAAATGGTTAGATTCTGGTACTTCAATCAAGAAACAACCTAGTTATACCAACGTTTCTAGGTAAGAAGGTTAAGGTAATAGATGATATTGTACATTTGTACTGAATTTGTTTGGGCGTAATTTACGTTTACCAAAGTACGGATGTATACACACACAATGGATGGAAGGTATAACTGGGGAGTAAATACAAAGTAAGCCAGATTGGTACGATGAAAAAATGTCTAATTTACTTTCAGATTTTCAAGGTGATATTAGTTATCGATAAGACGAGATAAGATGAAGAGTTCATGTTTCCTCCAACTCAGCGCAACATTTTATAACATTGCTTATTCTCAATGTGACATTTTGATATCGATTTCATTTTCACGGTTAGTAAGATATTGAAGTCATATTTTCAACTGTAGCAATATTTTAGGACAATATATTTTGTGTCAACTGAGTCTGAAATTCATTCAGTATGGGAGGTGTGACAATTATGTTCTTTGTATTATCCAGCGAGAATGTCGTAATTGTTTTACAGTAACCATGTACATCATTCCTTTCCTATGATGTTTATTAACTAATCATTAAGTTTGTGAAAAATCAATATATAAATGAGGGCTTGGTTTAATGACGAAGTGATTTTAGACTACTGGTTGTGATTACTTGTTTTGTGGACGTATTTTTGGAGAGTTATTAAATTTTCGTTTGTACCAGTCTTTCGTTTTCACTTCGAGTCGTGGGTTTTGAGTGGTTAAAACTGAGTTTATACGCAATAAAATAGGTGTATTCACTCCTTTCAGACATCATCCTTTAAATGTTTCTGCTATTCGAATATGTCATATCTTGAATGTTGATTTCTTGATATATCGCGTATAACAGAGCACTAGAACATCAAAACCCTTCCAAGTCGCAATAAGCAGACAGAAGACTAATGAAAGGAATATTATTCCAAACAGTGTCAATCATAGTACCAAATTGTCAGGTATTTATAGTTTTTAGTAAGAACGAAATCATGATTTCAGTCCTCCTATTAGCATTATCCAATCGGGAAGCTACACGTAGGAATTCTAGAATATTCTTCCGAAAGGTGATTGGATGGAACATCTTCGGCTCCTTCTGAGCCTCTTACAGCTTCCTCGAGTTCACCCGTGGTCCGTCGTCACAGAATATTTCCTATTCATCTTAGTATTTTAGTCCCAAACTTTCTTAGGGTGGACTGAATGAATTCATTTCGCATGTGCTATTCTATACTGGTTCAATGCTACGCTTATGTCTATTTGTTTATTTCTAATCATCAAAATGAATTACAATTCTCCAGTAGGGATTTAATAGCTTACTTTTCATCAAAATAATCATTTATTTCTCAAAAGGTCCTAAACACATGTTTTGTCGTAACTCAGGACTCTTCAGTATCGTAAAACCAGATCTCTCACATGGAATGAAAAACGCGACCTTCAGTTCTAACCCTGAGAATGACACCTATACGAAATCAACGTAGCATATGTTCAGTTTATTTACTTTGAAATTTGGCACACAATCGTTATCATCAACACCAAACATCTCATTACTGAATCAGTCGACTTCGGAGGTTGCAACTTTCCACTACAGCATCGAATAAACATTTTCAGTGGGAATCTCTGACGTGGTGAGTCACTCGTGAAGAATTAGGATAATTACTTACTGACTTATAGTTCCTCTTTATCCTAGACTACTTGATGCAATGTTGAGTTCTGATTCAATAACTGATTGACGTCGTGTTTCACACGAAACCCGAATGCTGTGGTCGTGGTTGTGTTCGACCGTCAATAAATCTAAAACTGACAAACAATATTAGCTGAATCTTTAGGGTCCTGACCTAAATCAAAGCTATGTAAAAATTTGACTATCCAATTAAAAAACCAATGATAGTTCTTGGTAGTTGGCAAGGTAGTTAGTATAAACGACGTTTTGTGCAAACTGTAACCTACGCTACTTGGATATCAGTAATAAAAGTTTGGTGAAAAAAATGTTTAAACAATATGAAAATAAACCTTTATGCTATGAAGCAATACACAAAATTACTGAACATTGTGTGTACTATGTAATTGAATTATAGTTAAATGAGGATAATATTCGTCAGCTATTGAAAACTAGAAAGCAATTGATGGCTGTTTTATCTCATTCTTGAACTTTGATCAGTTATGGTCCTGTCATTGACAAATAGCAGTGCTTTCAAGCGTTGTACTGATTACATTACTTTTATACAACTGAACTGGTGATAAGTCTTTTTTAAACAAAAAAACATCAAACATTAACTTTTAACTTTGTATTTTTTAATTAGCAAAATTTTTGTTAATCGATTTCAGATATAATGTTTAGGTCAAAATATGTTGGTTCATATGGATCCTTTTCTCGCGAATGGGAACCTCCACCACAACCTCCGCCACGACCTCCACCGTGGCCACCGCGTATACCACAAGAATATGATCCATATATTGGTCCAGGAAAATGGAATAGAGGTCGTATTAAATCGTTTAGTGTGACCGAACACTTTGGCAGTATTGTAGCAGATTTTCGTAATTTGGAAGTTTTTTTCCACCAAGTAAATTAAATAGTACAATATTGCAGATAATTGTAATATAGCGATATATAAGCTTTAAAATTATCCCAGCTGGTTTAAAAATATACATTTATAGCAAAAACAAACAAATCAGCGAAAATTCTATTAGTAAACAACCTATAAGTAGCAAAACTTTATTAACTACTACAAATCAAATCACGAATATACGCATCATCGAATTATCCATTATGGATAAAAATAGATATTTGACCTATAAATAATAGGGATCCAATGAAGCCTTAAGTGTTTACAAGTTTATTAAGGGAAAGCTGAGAGATGTTTTGTTCACTTGAAATATCATTTAAAAGAAACACATAAAAATGAACGATTTTACTCAAAGTTCAGATAACTGTCGATTTCCAGAAAATATAGGGATACTACATATACTTACTCACTTACTTACGCCTGTTACCTCTCATTGATCATAGACCACCAACAAAGATTCTCCAACCAACTCTGTCATGGATTCGCTTTTCCAGTTGTCTCCAAGTTCTATTCATCCTTCAGATTTCTCCCTTCGACTCCCTATTCAACATGTTGTTTGGTCTTACTCTTTTCCTTTAACCTTCGGGATTTCAAGTTGGGGCTTATCATGTAATGTTGTTTAGTGATTCCTTAAATCTGTGTCCTATCCATCACCAAAGTAATTTTAATTTTCTCTCCAGTTGGAAGCTTGCTTGTTATTTCATGCCGTAAGTTGTTGATGACGTTATCCGGCAAACAAATATGGAGTTTATTATTACCTATACACTTTTAATGATGGTTGTAGTAGTTGTCCAAGTTTCACCTCCGTACAACAGGACAGTATTAAAGTTCAAATTTGAAAATTCTGACTTTGATGTTTACCGACGGTTGCTTAGAGTTTCAGATGTTCTTCGATTGTAGGAATGCTACCTTTGCTTTACAAATCAGCACCTTCACATCCACATCAAATCTCCCTTGTTTATCGATCATGCTGTCCAAGTACGAAAGACTTCCCACCACTTCCAGACCTTCTCGACCAAGTATGATTGAGTCTGTTGTCTCTGTGTTGTATTTCAGAATCCTGCTCTTCCCCTGTGAAGGTTGAGGCCAATTGCTCCAGAAGCTGATTCTATACCAACTGTATTTACCTGAATTTGTTGACGTGTATAGAAAAGAAGAGCTAGGTGAATTTCGAAGTCCGAATCGTATAGTTGCATGGAAGCTGTCCATTGTATTCCGTGCCAAATGCTTTGTCACAATCAAGAAAGTCAACGTATATTAATGAGTCCCGTTCAACCGTTTGTTAAACAATTATCCGTAGTGTTGTGATTTAGTCTATTTCGCTGTTTTTGAATCTCAGTGATTGACTTGCCTTCTTCGTCTTTGACTGATTGCTCTCGTTTACAAGATTTCCCTACTAGTTTCTTCATTATATCATCATATAGTTGTATCACATTTCCTTCTCATGCAGCTCTTTCCGATGTCATTGCTTAGTCCTACACATATTTCTGCTCGCCAGCTCTAATGCTCTTCTTCACTCTCTTGTTTACTTCGGTGTATTCAGTCTGCGCCTTGACTCTCTCTGTTCTTGTTCAACTGTTGTTAATTGCTGTCTTCTTGTTCTTCCTTTCTTGAATAATATCTGGCGTTTCCATAGAAATTTATTCCTAATGATGACGCTCCTTGAGGTCCAACACTTGCTGATACGTTGAAGTTAGTGCTTCTTTGATCCCGTCCCAGTTGTCCTCCATAGTAGTTTCTTCCTTTATGAGTTGATCTTGTAAGGCATGGAACCTATTGTTGACAGCTATCTTGAATTCATTGAATTCGTTAGTATCTCGAGCGATGGCTTTATTGAACCTTTCTTATATCGTTGAAAAAAGCAGTTTCCGCACCCATTTATGTTAACTAGCTGAATGACTACGTTATTCCATTACTGTTAATTCTAAGACACCAATGTATTTCAAGTAAAGAATCATTCTTTAGAAAAACTACTTACTGTCTCATATCATGCGGGTAATTCTTTATTCAAATAATGAAGTTTAGTTTATAAAATACTCAACGTTCAGAGGTTTTTATGCATTAAGTGTTACTTATCACTCCATCACTATTAGCATGAGCTAGAAAATTTCTGTAAACCAGGGTAGTTATTTGGCTACTAATGACTATAGAGTTCCAAACTGGGAGAGGGTCATTCTTTTGTTTTCAGTTATGATTTAAATAGTATAAAACTATATGCTTCACGGATGTTTTCATTTTATTTTATTGGATTCACCTTACAGCTACATACAGAATGTAATAAATTGAAGCAATCTGACAAATTTTGAAATGAATTATTCTCCTAATCACAACTGAATTATTTAGAAGGATACATTCGAATGTAGCTTAGATTAATACTGTTTACTGGGGCATTTTTACTGATAGCTTTTTTTAAATACTAGAGAAGTTAACATTAGTCTACATTATGAGTGTGAGTTAATCTCACTGGATTGTAAGTTACTCATACCATTAGTGTCGTTTATCAACGTTTTGAGTGTTAGCTACTGACTCATTTTGAATTGAAATGACTTGTAATAATCACTTTAAGGAAGATTATCTTGAAATTTTTAAATTTATCTCATACCAAGTAGGTAACACTCAGTTGAACTATTAATACTGTTTTGGTCTCTGAAACGTATACTTTTTAAATTGTTTAGTTAAGCCTACAGTTTCTAGTCTGTTTTTTCCATAGATGTACTTGCATTTAGTCGTACAGTAATATTATAACAATCTGGGATTTTCAAAATCTTGAGTATAACCGTCTGTAGTCCTAGTTATATAGGGGATTGGAAACTAACACCATTTACAAAGACTTTGAATATTTAAATTGTATGAGAACCATAGATCGCTATTGTCCCCGGAAAGAAATGGAATTCAAACTTCTGTGGAACTGATTGTTGAATTACAGCAATAGAAGTAGTCAGACGACCATGTGACTCGACGTTGTGGATCAATATGTTTAATATGGTTAGAGGCAAGATACAGAGAGTGCCAGTCATCAGCACAACTCAGTGGTCATGTGAATGAACATGAGACTGAGTGATGCAGGCTTAAATTTCATAGGCAGGATAATTCCCTCTAAGGCTAGAAGTAAACTTCGCAGATGCGTTCTAACTATGACAACAGCCTTCTTCCAGTTACATTCATCCATCTAATATTTGCTTCTAAAATCCAATCCATTTTAATTTTTACGTGGTATCGATATCTGTCTACTCTTGGCATATGTAAATTCCGCTCTTTATGATGTCCCACTAGAACATTAGACGGTCGTTATCCGAATTCGCTTCAGGTGGAAATGTGGATCTTGGCGCAGTACCACAAGGATTTTATAGTGAATTCAGTGAGTTCGGCTTTATTAAAGATTGTGGCTGGTTAGTGTTGCTGTTTAGTCCCATAATATGACAAAATAAACGTCCACTGCTTTCTGATTTTAAACTATTCACCACTTGTTATTTTGGCCATAAAAATAGCTTAATGTATTCTGGCTGTCTTTCGAAAAACATTCTTTCTAGTCTAACGTATACGGAATTTCTGCGGAGCAGTTATATCCAGACTTACCAGTTTGGTTTCAAATACGTCCAGGTGTAAGAGGATTAGAAGGATATAATATTCAACCAGCAATTGAAATGAGAGAATTTCCTTCAACATCACGAATTTCATGGTCAGAACCAGCAGTTTGTCAACCCTTATTTCCTCTTAGTTCAGAGCCACTTAGAATGAGAAGGTTACCTGAAAGACGTAGAACAAGACGATTTCGGTAAGTCCAAGGAATGAAGATAGGTTAATGGTTGTTTGAGGTAATTGTAGATCTAAATGTTTTACTGATTACTTTGATTAACGTTTATCCCTTTGCGTGAATCTAGTAGTAAAAATATGTATATGGTTAAGATTTTAAACAAATCTAAAACCGTCATACCCACCTGTTAAGCAAAAGACCATTTCTGTAGTGCGACACAATCTGTTTGGTACATATGACATTGCATAATGTGAAACTGGGACCAAGGGGACTTTCATCCAGATGTGATGCGTTCAGTCCTCTCATCATCAGATTTCAATGTTTTGGGAAACCAGGCGTGTTAAATGGATTAGACTGTAACCCATAAACCTTATGTAGTGAATAGCAGACATCTCAGTACCAAGTGAACCCATTTCCAGCTTATCTTAAAAGCTCGCATTTTGTTTAGCGAAGCTTAGGGTTAGGTAATTCCAACCACAATCCGCACATGAAAGATCTACAGAATCCTCCAATGTGAATAATCATTTGCTTATATAGATAGAAGCTTGCTAAATTAAAGTTCTATCCAATGAAACCAAAAAATATTTATTAGTTAAAGAATTTTTATTATACTTGTTATTGTTTTTTAACCGTCCTTTGTGATCTTAATGACTGAAATATTGGACTCCACAGTATAACCTCTAATGATCGAGAGGATTTGTAGCTTTGGTACGTAGTTTCGGTAGTGCAGAATTTTCCAAGTTTAACTGAGAAGCTTTATTTGTAGTTTAGGAGAACATTAGGGGACTTCATATATAAAAGAGAAGTTTTAGAAGTCTGAAATTTATTTCAATCTGCTGTTAACAGATACATTAACACTGATCCAGTTTGTCTGTCCATGTTAGAGAATGTTGGTGAATCCTGGTCGACGGCCAACGCTCCACTAGGGGTAACAGACATAAGTATTTGTCCATGTAGATACAGTCAGTCAATCACATGATGCAAAGTCAACCGAACAAGAGTGTGCAGAAATAAAAGTTGTATAAAAGGTGATAAAACCTGTAAAAATAATCTGTCCATCAGATCTCGGTAGTGTGAAAAGTACTGAATTAGAAAATAGTCCTCAATATTTCCAAGTTTAGTCAGTTCACGATATTTCCTAAGCTTTATTCATTTGAATGATTCCGATAAATCCTACTCTCATATAATATCTTTTACAAAATTTTCCACACTTGTGAAGAGAAACTTCTTATATAATTGGCAATATAATATTGAACTATAAGTGGTTGTATTTTATATGTTAACTGTGAACTAATTTATGGGATGGAAAAATTTTTTTCTCAAGTGACCTAACAAATTGAGATATTATTACTTTTCTGTTTGGTGTTCATCAGTGTTTAATAAAAATCTAAATTATGATCATATTTAAATTATAAACGATGGAATAGTGAGACAGAAAGTAAGGGTTGATAATAGCATACTTAATCTTCGAAATAGAAATCTGATTGTTTTAACCATTCTGACGCTCCTGATGTAAATTCTTTATTATATCTGAGTGACTGAGTGGTAGTGCGTTTACCGTAAACTAGGAGGTCTGAATTTCTAAATAACAAGTCTTACATTGTGTTATGGTGGGCGGTGTCTGAAAACTGATATTGATACACAACGTGCTACACGCTAACTCACCACCAGACAGCTAGTGAAAGAAAACGGGAGTGGATGAGAAAGTATATTGGGCTACCAAATAGTATACACAAACACTTCTTTTTACACATACATCTCTACCGTTTAGAAAATTTATCCATTTCTTAGTCAATGGTATACATTTATCCTTCAAGCCATTTCAGATTACCCTCTCATTTGGTTTCTTCTGATTGGCTCACCATATCACATTGGTCTAGATCAATTTTTAACTTATATCTCAAACAGACAACAATAGATCCAAGTGATCAGATATTGTCCAAGGTTTGCTGGCTGAAAATTATTACAGGAGGTAATAAATCCGGTCTTGTGAACCGCTGTATCCATTACCTAGGAGGATCTGAGTTAATAAATAAAACTATACCTTCTCCGAGAACATAATTATTCAGCCCAGTAGTTACATAAATTACCAGTAAGCTGTTCATTTCTCAACTAACCCCGTTTGAAAATTAATTATATGGATTCAGTCCAATATCGGTTATTATCAGCAACGTCCAAATGTTAAACTGTGTCTGAGTTGCTTATTTTATATAGTATGTCAGTCATCTTTGATTACATTGAGTGATCTTTATGGTGTATCATGAAGTGATTGTAGTAAAATGTATAAACATCAAAACGCTTTCATGTAGTTCATGAATTTTAATAAATAGCAGTGTTAGTTAGATGTATGTGGAACATAACAGTAAAATGAATAAATGCATAAATCCATTAACAATTTCCTAAATAATTTTAAGTGGAGTTGCTTACTACTTACGAGTAGTTAAAGACTATATAAGAGAATAGTAGACATTGTAAAACTGAACAATGTTAAATATGTAGGCAGTGAATACTAACTGGTTAGCATGGTTGTGCTGCTAGTTTAAAAATGATTGTTGATTTTGAGTTTGCTAATCGAAATCATCTTCGTAGTCTTACTGAGTAACATATGTAAGCCATTAAAAAATCTGTAGAGAACAAACAATAATTTCGACAACCCAAGTACATCTCAATAAAGTGTATACGATGTCGCATATCTTAGACTAGTGACCAAATTGTAACATGATCGACAGAACTTAAATAGCACTAAGAAGGACTTAAAATACGTTACATTGGTCAATACCCAGTGGTCAATCAATCTTTTGTAGTTTGATGTAAATATTTAAATTTGTATCTTGTTTAGCAGTTGGGTTAGTGATGAGAGGTAGAACTGATGATGGAAACAGGAGTACCTTTTATTGTTTTCAGCAACTCTTAGAAAAATTGACATCACTTACTTAAGAGTATTATGGCGAATAATAATAATTTTCATTCATAAACTAGATAGATGAAGATAAATAATGATTTAGTGGTATAAGTTTTCACTAGATTTTCTATTATGATAGCTTGAATGAATTCTAAAATTAGTGAAATGCTTTTGGTGGTTAAATCGTTAATTCGATCAAGAAATCGATTCCTGAATTCCCTTAAACTATAATGGATGATATAACTGGTGATCAGTTGATATCTTTAGCATACTCAATAAACTATTTTAAAAATATAACTAACTTCACTGTTTGAAATGAGCATATCAAGTTAAGTGACTGTGGTTACTTGAATCACACACTGCTACCGATAACGAGAAATCACTACTGTTATTGTGACAGTAAAGATTTTATTCATTTATATACATTGAGCCTGAAGAAGAAGGTCACACGAACGAATTTCCCTCCGTCAAAATAATTTCCTCTATCATCAGAATGAAAGTCTATCAGCATGAACTCAAAAAAGTCAGAAAAATATCGGTATGAACGAGGAATATTCTTTCCAATAAATTTTCTGTATGTTCTACTGTTAGATATTCCAATTTAAAATCTAAAATGCTGTTAGGTTTGAGATAAAATACATTTTAACAGTTGAGATCATGAGTCAATTGAAGCTAGACCTCCATGGAGAATCTGGAAGCAGTAGATGGCTGTTTCGTCCTATTATCGGACCCCTCAGCAGTGCGCACCCAAATCAAGTTTACTAAAGAGTTGGAATCGCCTGAACGCAGATGACCTTTTCTAGACTGCCTGGTTGAAAGGAAGGATAATGATTGTTTAATAATTAATATATTCCGAAAGCCTACATATTCAGGGAAATTTTTAGATTTTAAGTCTGCGCATCCACACTCGACCAAAGTGACAGTGGCCAAAAATTTGATGACCAGGGTCAAAAAACTTGTCACTGAACCGAATGATATAAAAATGGAAATGAATTTAGTTGTATCCACTCTATTAATGAATAATTATCCGAAAGGTTTTATTAAAAGAATAATTAAGAATGGAGAACGGAATGATATTTAAAAAAAAGAGTTAAGCAAGATTGGATGAACACAGTAGTGATCCCATATCGTAAAGGTATCTCAGAAGACATCAGAAGGATTTTAACTCGTCAAAATATAAGAGTATTCTTTCGAACAAACAATACTCTAAGATCAAAACTAGTAAGAATCAAAGATCCAATACACAAGGATGATCAACAGAATTGTGTTTATGAAATCAAATGTAATGACTGTAATGCAACGTATGTAGGTGAAACATCAAGGCAACTGAATGTGAGGGTGAAGGAACACAAACTATGCTTAAAGCACATTCCTAAATCCTCAGTTGATGTAAAAACGCTTGAGAACAGATCAGCGATAGCATTACACTCGATTGAGTCTGGTCATACAGTTGATTTCAATGGCACGAGAATCATTCAAAAAGGATTTAATTCTTACAAAGAACGACTAACAGCCGAAGCCCTACATATATGGGCTAATTCAAACAATATTAATAGGAGAGATGGAATACAACTAGCTGTCCCATGGCAACTAATAATTAATAAGTAAACCTGATCTCCTTTTTGCAATTTGATATATCTATGCCATAGTAACTAATTGATAGATAATACGTTCAATGATTCAAATCCGTGATCTTATCTGAATATGTTAAACAATTGACTGGAACATTAAAATAACACACACTTTCAATTACACATACATTCCTCTTTTATTTTGTTTACTTATCTTATATTTATCTTCATTTAATGCAGGCTGTGGCATTTTTTGATTCATTTCATATATAAAAATGATCTGTTTTCTTAATATACACAGACCGTAGTCAATACTTAATTGAATGAAATTTCTTCTCACATCACTTGCGTATAAACACATTCTGTTGTCTTAACACGTTTTGGGTTCCATAACACATACCTTGTCCTTATGTGTACAAAAACAATTTGTCATAACCTTGTAATCCTTAAAGTCATTCTATGGCCTAGGATAACAGGACAATTTCTTATTCTTTCTCTCCCCTTGGTTATTTTCAAATGAATTTTTATTTGGTTGACCTTTATTATTTTTCATATTATTTTCATATAAACATGTCTCCTACACATTAATACAAATACCTATTTATAAAGAAATCCTTCACGTCAATTGGATGACTTATTCAGTATACAGTAAACCGAAGAACCTTGTACCTATTTATATTCGATAATTTTGTTGTTTGATTATATTTTCCTTGAAAAAGCTTGGACCAGATCGCCAGGCGAAACGTTGGTTTACTTAAAATTCATTCGCTGAGATTTTACAAATACATTCTTCTTTTTAATGTCTCACATTAACTCGGCGCCTAAATATTGTGAAACTATTCGTTCAAATTTAGACGAAAGTTCTTATTAATTAATCCCTTTGATAAATCTTGATAATGCAATGAGAAGACATAGTTTATCAGAATTATGTGATATATTTGCGCAATACATTTCGAACAATTTGATTACACATATACTTGTTAAGAACATTTATATATGAAAATTAAAAGGTCAACTAGACAGGTTAAGGGTAAGTCATAACAAAAGGAAAATATTTAAGTACACAAAAACAAATGTGATTACTACTCTTGATAGTAAATCAGTACTACCAGGGTAGGTTAAGTGTGAATTATAACTATCTATACTTTGTTTATAAATGTTATTTTTCATTTCATAATTTTCCTTTAACTAAAATATCTCTATATTGTTAGCTGTTATAATTGTGGACAATACGCTTCACATAAAGCTGCCACATGTCCGTTCGAACCTATGCGACGACGTTGTTATCGATGTCGTGATCCAAATCATTTAATAGCTCAATGTCCATTATTACATTCACTTACACCGCATTGTTATTTGGTACCTGGACCGTCAACTTCGCAGGTACCCCCACGATTTTCAGAAGCACGTTTACGCGTACCACAACCGACCTTAACGACAGCACAACAACAGTTACCCCAACAAACCCAACAGCCATTTATGCAATATTTTTTCCCACCAGGGTTTGGTGATGATGATGACGATGAACATGATGACTTTAGGGAGTAACTGATAGTCATTTCATTATTCGAAATACATTTCTGTGATATACAAGCAGGGAAAAAACAGTCAATATCAAACAATAAAACTAGAATGAAAAGTGACTACTAAAGTTATTTGAATTATTTGATGTTCACCTAAAACGTAGTACTATTGACTAGGTGTATTATCAATCTTTTCTTGCTATCCACTCGTTTTATAGGGATCATTTTTAATTTTTGGTCAATGCATTTTGTTTCAATGATATTATTATTATTTATGCCAATATTGTTATTATTATCACTAGTCTTAAACATTCAATAAGATGACGTTTATCAAACATCACTTACTGCCTTTATCTCTTGGTTTCATATAGTGAATTAAGTTTCCTTTAGTCTATCTATCTCTGTCATAGATACATACATACATACATACCTACATACATACATACATACATACACACATACACACATACATACATACATACATGCACAGAGAATAGAAATTCTTTTCATTTTTTTAGGAAACATCTTAAAACAACATAGAAATAGGCGTATTCAATTAATTAAGCAGTTTGATATTTCATTCATCTTTCTATAGATTCCTTTTTGTTCCTTTGCTAGAATATTCAAGTAATCAATGGTTTTAGTTTTATATTCATGGAGAATTATTATTATTATTATTTTATTAGTGTTTCGTATATTCACCAAATGAAAAGGAAAGAATTAAGTCGTTTCTTTTTTTGTGATACATAAATATTACAAATGCAAAATGATCAAAATAACCTGTAAATGAAAGTAAACTATAAGTAACGGACGGAAGACACTATTTTTTTGTTTTTGGGACAGAAAATGAGCTTTATTGAAAGTTTTCTCATGTATGCACTTATTCTATGAATCGCTTTTTATACTACTAATATACTCTTCATACTACTTAAATTGATCGACAGATCTTTGTACGTTATGGCTTTATTTTGTAACTGTCTACCTACTTTCACTATTATTAGTACTATTAATAATTATTACTGTAACCAGTATTATTGCAAATATTGTTGAGATCTCGTTATTGTTTTGTTGTTATTCTCTTTAATTAATTGGAACATGTTAGTAAATCTGTAAAAGAAAACAAGGAAGAATAGGATATTTCTTTTCTATTGATAATTTCTATTGTTGGTTGACTTGGGATTTTATCACCGTTCCTTTTTATCAGAGAGAAATATTTCGTTTATTTTCTATGGTAAAAAATATGGAATCTAGGAATATGTTTTATGTCAGCAGCTGCTTACATCACCATCACATCATTTTTCTTTTAAACTACTCACATGTTTACGCTAAATTGCTGTGGTAAATTGTTTGTTTACTTATATGAAGATTTATTTGTGTGTTCTGATCAGTGTGTTTTCCTTTTTACTTTGATGTATTTATTTTGTCGTTTTGTCTTACATACGCGCAAAACATTTTTCGTAATGACCTGTAATGATTGCTGGCACAAACGATAATTTTTACTTTTCTAAGGAGCTGGTCTCTCCTAATATTTTTTTCATTCAATATGTCAATGTTCGTTTTTGTTATGGATTTCACTTTTCAATTATTGTTATTATTATTATTATTACTTTTATTAACTTTTGTGAAAGCTCAGTGAAAATTATTAGGATCTGAAATAAAAACTAACTGCCTCTGATTCATTTTGCATTAGGTTGTCATGGTGACTGCTTGACAATTTCAACGCCTAGTACTGCCAATTATTCAAGCACACAAGCACACCTGGACAGAATTTAAGACATTATAACTTTCTTAAAATTTCTGTTGGTAGGAGACGATATTTCTTCTGTGTTAGTAGCATGTAGAATAAATTTTAGGGTTTATGTTCTGTGTTGAGCATTTTGGAACTATCAATGGAAAACTATAATATGTCAGGTTCTTTTTCCCGAATACTCATCCGGAATCAGTGCATTTTACCTTGATGTTATTTATCTTGTCTTTCACATCCATATTTAAGCACTTACACTAAATGACTCAATCCAAGTTCACAATGAAATGGAACAAGAGATTTATAGAATGATTCCTGCTCTCTTTCAGAGAGTGAAACTCTCAGATGCAGTAATCGTGGCTAGTGATTTAATTCCCAAGAAAGTAGTCTACGTGAAGTTGAAAGATACAATTAGGGGCCTTTCTTTGTTCTACCCCTAGGAATAGGTAATGCTGGCTATCAGTTGTAACTATATACAGAGAACAGTTTAATTCTTGAAAGTAATACTTTAAAGCATAATGAAAGAGAATATATTACATGGTGATATCGACACAAATAAAATTTATCGTTACCAGGCACCGTTGGGAATGTCGACATTTGTCTGGAGCATATGTTCGAACTCGAATCATTTTCTAGTTAGAGCTTATATTCTAATATCTATCACTGGGTGTAAATGAGTCGTAGCGAGAAGACGTTTTAGTTTAGTTCTAATATGAAAAACTTTAATAATGGGTTTGGGGAAGTATTAGTAAACTAATCAGTCGATTCCAAATAGGGATTTCGATCCAGAAAGAAACATGGGACAATACTTGAGCAGCTGAATAAATAATCGTGATATCTGTCACTAATCTAAGCCAATATTTAAAGAGCAACAGATGTTCTCTTCTCAACTTATTATTATAATTTGACAAACTTGATTTTCGTTCGAGGTAAATCTCCGTTAGTTACCTTATAATTTAGAAACTTGTGGATATCATTTCTATTTAATTTCCATGTTTTCTTACTCATTGGATGAAACCATATCCCATAAATCAGGTGACTAACACAGTTCAGTAATGTAATCACTGATGTTTTAGCGTTCCTAGAGAGGGAAGTTAAGTTCCATTTCCATCATGAAAATCAACAATTCCTAATATACAGATACATCTGACATACAAATATGATATTGAATGAAACTTCCGTTTTTAAATCACCTCTGTCTTGTATAAAAGAATATCGGTAATTATATTTACTACATTTAATAGTTTGATATTGATTTGGTTTATTTTATAATTCAATCTTTATTTCTGTCCATTAACTAAGGTATAATTCCTTTTTTTCATTGATAATGGAGTATTTTGATATAATCTACTACAGACCTACTTATTGAGCAGTAATTATTTAATTGATCATTATTTACAAAGGCAAATAGAAGCAAATGTTTAGTTAGTAGACTGATGGATTCTAATGGAACTTTTGAATTTATTTGTATTTGATAAAATTGTTTACGATTTTCCAGCCCAAAAATGGAAGGTCTATTTATTTGTGTAATTTTAGGATGTAATACAGTTTATTATATCTCATCTTTAACCATTAGAATAGAATTCCGAATTCTGCATGATTAACTTAACACAACATGATGATTTAGAACTTAGTATATAAATCTATAAACAATAACTGAGTTAAAGTGACTTTAATTATTCATCATTATGGATATTCATATTATACTAGTCTTTACTTTTGGTGATGTCCCGTTCATTTTGAATGGCTTAGACACTGATCCTTAATAATCTAGCATTTGAATTGAACTTAAACTCACTGCTATTTAAAGGCAAAAGGTAAGGCTTTAAACTCGACACTCAGACGGCTGTCAAACAGAACGTTCGATAGTGGTCAACAGGATTATCTAAGTTTAATAGTTGACAAGCTGGAATAATTAAAAAATGCATTTGGAGAACGTGTACCACGAAAACATTTATGACATGTACTAGTGAAGGGGTTGAGTGAAGGTGGGTTTGGTTTGTTAGCAGTATTTGTTAAAGATTTATCTCAGTTGATGTGTCAGTGAAAAACAGGGAGCATCATATAGGTGTTTCGTGTCAGTATGAGACTTCTTGAAATTATGATGAGTTTAGTCTGTGACGAATACAACTTACTAAGTAAACCAATCTCAAAAATTATCCTTTGCCAATGCTGTAATCGTGTGTTTTCCAGTGAGTCGCTTCACAATAAGTTCTTGAGATTCTGGTGGGAAGTCGTGACCGGTGAAGTGCAGACATGTCAGGCACGAAATAGTCATTACTAATGCCTCTGGATGATCTCTGAGTTATATAAAGAATTTTGGGAATTTCAAAATATGTGCAACCAGGTGAGAATGCAGTGATTCATCATTTTCAGAATCAACCAAAGAAGTTTATCCCGTTAGCGAAGTGTCATTTCACATTTAAACAGATTACTATTTATGATCATTCCGTTTACTTCCCTCATAAGACGGGTACATGTTTGAAGGATCATGTAGGACATTTACTACTAAAGATTACGAATATTTATTGATGTAGTAATACCAGTCTATTTTTATGAATATTCCAGCAGTTAATATCAAACTTTGTGCTGGAATAAATTGATCTACTGGGTAAAAAGTTCCCAACCAATATATAAGGGATCTGAAGTGCAATTGTATGAAATAAAGGGAGCCATCCAGATAACACAATGTCTTGAATCCTTGTGATGAATCAGAGTCATCAAAAAGAAGTGTACTTTTTCAATTAGCTATGACTAATGCATATATGTGAATTATTTAAATCACTCTTTTCTAGCTGGGTTTGCGAATACTTTCTTTAGAGTTTACATTCAGTTGGCCAACGTTTTAATAGTGTACTTTAAGTAGCCAAAATAATCAGCAGATCTAAACATGGCTAGAACGTTCTCATTTAACCTAAAAAAAAAGCCGGTAGAAAAAACGTTTCATAAGTAATTTGGAAAGTATTGCTAAGGTTTTAGTGTGAGACATTTTGAAATTCTTACATCAAAGGATTGTAGGAATGCCTGATTAACGGATATTTAGGTTTATATATGTATTATTTTAGCCTTAACTATCATGTTATGTGGGCAAAGATAAACGATAGAAAACCCAGTTTCAGCGTTTTGCCTGTTGTTACTTATAAACACTACATAAAATTCTGTCACAGATTCCTCAATGCCACAGCCAGAGACATTACGAGTTAAATGTTTATCTTTCGTTGGATCGATTTGATAAATAACAATCGAATGACATTTGACTAACACCGGACTGTTCAAATATTTATGCAACCTTTTCCTTGAACTGTGATAATATTACAATTAAAATATTTTTTCTTAATTTATTTAAACCAGATAATTATGATTACTAAT